TTCAATCTTGTCATTCCTCGCAATCCTAACTTCAAGGTATGCGGAGGAGGATTTTCTTGTGTCGTTGCCTCTAAAATTAATTATTGGACTTGCGTTACTTTTCTTCTCAATAATGACAATGTTATTAGCCTTCACCGCAACCATTGCCATCATCTTCCCACCTCGATCACTAGCGATTACTATAGCTGTACTCGCGTGGATGACTGGCAGCTTCTATATTCTGCAGCATCTCCCGCTTTTGGTTGATGCATACCGTTCTACATTTCGTTCTCGTTATCTATTTCGACCTCGACAGGAGTTGTTTCGAGATTAAACGATAAGCTTGGTGTAATTGGTTTGTAAATTACAATTATTATCTTTGTCTCATTGACCATTTGCTTGTGTTTGTACTTGTGTGTATTCTCGATTAAGTGGTAGGAGTACTGTTATCTATATATCATACTATATGTACGGAGTATTGCCATTTGATATAATTTTATGGCTAAGACTTGAAATTTATTTACTCTTCTCTCTATTCCTTAAAGATCTTACTATTCATATTAAGTGTACGTGATATTCAATGTACTATTGTTATTATTACTTTTTTCATGGACGATAATAGAGCCTTGACTTATGTATTTAAACCTTTTAGAAGTCAACTCGTCCCAACTTAAGTATATTAAACACTTTGAGAGTCAGGAAGATGGAATGTAAGGGAATCTTTAACTCTTAGAGTATATCTAATGGGTATTATTGAACCCAATATCAAGGTTGGAAGGTTCTCTCCTTATCATTATACCAATAATTAAATATTAAATTATATTCTAAGAAGTGAGATTATCCAACATAATTACTCCACTAGGAGGAGCTAATTTACCTAATTAAGCATTTTCCACCATTTTTTGGGAGGTGGAACTTTTTTAGGACAAGTGATTTCTCATGTAGTCAATTTGGCAACCAAATAGCATGTACTAGCTATAATATCTCATTTTTTTTTATGAATTTTCCATGAATTTTCATGTCAATTAAGCAAGGAGCGAAATTTGAGCAGGACCTTATATATCCAAGTACACTCAACTCGAATGTACTTTGTACTAATATATGGGTCTCAATCACTAGCTTAAACTTTTGGTTGAATTGGTACTCTAATTTGGTATCGGAGCTAGTGTGACACAAAGATAACAAATTCAAATCTCATCCCCCTCCACTTTCAGGTGGAATATATCGCGTAGGGCATTGAAAATTTCATCATACACCCGGATGTACCATGAGCATGGTACACTCGGTCAAAATACAAGAGTTATAAAAATGTGAAAAGAACATTGTGTACAAATACAAAGTACACAACCCAAAAAGAAAAAAAAAATCAAAAGGATTATCTCCTTGATTTAGGGATTGATTTGTTAATTGTAATCCTTGATTTATGGAGTTATTTTTTATTATTTGCATTCCATATTATTTTTGATAAACAAAATTTCTTTTTTTTTTATGTTAAGAGAGAGAAATTGAGTTTCTAGAGAGAGAAATCATGGTAAATTTTAAATTTCAAAGTGATTTAATGTTTATTGTAGAGTTGATTTTATAGTTTCGGTGAATTATTTAATTGAAAGATGTAATTGACAAATTCGTTGTTGAGAGAAAAATATTTTTGATATTTTTTTTTACTTATTTTCTGTTTTGGTGTTATTTTCAAAAGTTGAAGATGTATGATGTTCTTCACATTGCACTCTAATGAATGTTCTTTTATCATTTTATAATTGCAATGAAATATATTTTTTTGGGTTTGATCAATATGTTGTTTGAGTCTAAACTATATGTTCATTATATTACAAACAATGTTCTTTAAGATATATAAATAATCATGTTCTTTGGGTGTATAATACAAATTAGGTTCTATTTACTTATATAGTATGTTCTTATATTTTGAATTTTGAATTTTTGAAATTTAAAAATGAAATTTTGAATTATATTTGTGTGAAATTAATTTTAAATAGATAAATTTTCGATGTGAATATTTTGAAATGATGACATTAAATTATTGGTAAAACTCAATTAATAATTATCTTTTACCATTTTTAAAATTTGTTCATTCCTCAAAAAATACTGCTCTTTATATTTCGGAAAATTTGCAAATTGCAACCATTTAAAGTTCGTATTTTGCAATTGCAGCCATTTAATTTTTTTTTTGCAAATTGCAGCCCAAAAGTTCGTATAAATTGTAAATTGCAGTCCGATTTAATTTTTTCATCGGTTTACATGTTGAAAAATCTTCGGTTAAGGTTTTAGGGGTCATTTTAGCCCTCAAGGACCCGAAATGAGCTCGGTATTAGGAAAAAAATAACGCAAGTATCTCGTTTTGCGTAACAAAAATGTATTGATTTGTGGGAAACTGTAAAATATGAGACAACTTACGTTATTTTTTTACTAATTCCGAGCTCAATTCGGGTCCCTAAGGGCTAAAGTGCCCCCTAAAACCTTAACCGAATATTTTTCTACATGTAAACCGGTGAAAAAATTGAATCGGACTGCAATTTACAATTACAATTTATACGAACTTTTGGGCTGCAATTAGCAAAAAAAAATTTAATTGGCTGCAATTTGCAAAATACGAACTTTAAATTGCTGCAATTTGCAAATTTTCCTTATATTTCAGTGATATGTTCTTTTTATAAATTCATTATGTTCTTTATAATTATATATTATTTTCTTTTTGCTTTAATTCGGGTGTACCATGCACATGGTACACCCGGATGTGCGAACCACTAATTGTAAGGTATGCGGAAGGCCCATGATGTATCCACATTTCATGCCCAAAGGGTTCTCATGTGAAGGGAAGTAACAGAGTATAAAACATATTATTTGGCCTTAACCATTAGTTTAAGCTTTAGTTGAGTTGGTCCACTAACACCGATCATATGCATATAAATAATTGATATTTTAACTTTTTTATAAAAAAATGTATATAATTAAAGCATAGGATTGAAATTTTATAACACATACTTTTAAAATATATATATATATATATATATATATATATATATATATATATCTTAAACTATACTTATACACATTTAAATTTGTAAATGATTAGGTGGAAAAAATGAAGAATAATATGATTCGGAATAAAGGGTTGAATGATAATATAGTTACATAGTCTAGACTTTATAGAGAAAATTCAATAAAGACGACATTTTAATGTGTTGTTGACTTTTTCAATTACAATGTAATACAGTATCATGAGCTCATGGCCACTTGACAAGAAGATTCACATAATCATACTCCGTATTTCAATACTACTTCGTATTCCTTAAATCCTAGTATTTTTTTGCCATGACAATGATACATAAACATAATATTAATTTAGTAACAAAAATCTATTATGAACATATTAACACTTAAATTATTTGTAGGCTTACTTATTAATATGACTTAGATTTGTACTAAGTTAATAGGTTGACTTTCTAACCTGTGTTAGTGCATTGGATGTCCTTTCTAATAATAGTACTCAGAGGAAAGCGAAAACTAATAATTAAAGAAAGACTTAATTGTTTATGTAAGTCATGAACTTATGGACAACCACATCGTATTAAGATTATACTACCATGTGAAATACAAGTAACTTATAACCAAATACATTACAATTTAGGAATCCTAACTTTAGACCTTTAGTAATAGAGAATAATATGATTGAATCGATTAGAGGTTGCGTGCTAACAAAAACAATTGCGCCAGATCGAAGAAGATGCTTGTAAACTTGTTATAGTTGTTTTTGTTATTATTTTTACTATGTATTATGATGAAAGATTTTACTTTTTATTTTTACTATGTGTATGATGTAACTAAATTAATATCTCGCTGAAACGAAGCATACTTGGAGAGGTGTTTTATGTTATTTTTATCTTTCAGTGCACCTATAATTATATTAGTCAGGGTAATCTTAGGGCATGTTCTCATTGACTGAACTGAATTGAAATGAAATGAATATTTTATAAGAAAAGGAAATTATGAAGGATCTCCTAGAATCGGGAGGAAAACTCTAACCACTTGAGCTATCCCTCCCTCTCGCAAAACTATGAATATGTAATTGTGATATTAGACTTAGTGCTGGTTTTAGTTCACGTGTATTTTATAATTAATATATAATTTTTATTACAAAAATAAAAATATTTAACAATTAAAATCGTACATAACATAATAGAGTATTTCATATCTTATTTTTCTGAGTTGATCTAATATAAGTTAAATAAGGTGAGCCAAACATGGCTTTAGTCTAAAATACAGTCAGTAGGTCATCACAATTATGTCATACCTCCTTAGCTCTCTATATCATTAACTTTGTTCTAATCTAATTTCTGTTACTTTGCATAAAAAATAAAAAAAAATAAAATAAAAGGCCTTAGTCCCACAACTCTCACCCAAGCATATCCTTATCAACAGATTATTTCAAAATCGTGAAGGCAATTTTATTATTACGAATATATAATCTTTAATTTATTAAACTTATTTGTGAATACAATTAGAATTAAGTTGTTCAAACTTTGAAGAAAGATAAATTAATAAATAAATAAGAATTAGGTTAAAAAATTACTCAAACAAAAAAAAATAAAAATTTGTCAACTCTTAATTCGTGGCCTGGTGACATAATGACCAATAACAAAATCCGATTCAAAAGCAAATACTTGGACGGACTAAAGTAAACAATGTTATAAAAACATATATGGTTGGCAAACAAAAATTTAATATTCCGTGAATATCCTTAAACATCATTATGTAAGATATCCAGACCAAATTAATAAACCCCTTAACAAAATGCATCAATATGTAATTTTAATTGTTGCAAATAATAAAACTCCACATATAATATAATTTTATTTATTTATTTTCTTATTTGAAGCAATTGGGTGCAATGTCTGCATCCTATTACCTACCATATTACGTTCAACCCTCAATTTTATTTATTTATTTATTTATTTAATTAATTTTAATAAGAACTCTCAAAATGGTCTCTACTTAATCAATAGTTTAATGCATAAACATACATACGATTCCACAGTATATAATGCAGATGATCGAGATAAAGTTCTGGTTTAATTAGGGTTACAGGTTAAATAGTTGATTGATCCCTAAAATTCCAAATACAAATCCTCCGTTAAAGTCCTTCATAATCATGGCTAACAGGTTCGTCGCCCCATTTTTTATTATTAATTTTTTTTTTAAAATGTACAAATATGTCTTCATATTGTATGTTTTTAATTAATAATGCGCATAATGATATGGATATGCATGGCTGATTAACTGGCTGCTTCATGGGGAGACTGAGAGTACGTAGATACGATAGGGAGGACGGACTCCGTAGAGGGCGGATTATTGACATTGCAATAGGTGAAGAGAGGGACTGGTATGAGTATTGAGAAACTGAAAAAGAGAGGAAGATACAAGATGGGGAGTATTTAGAGAAAGAGGTAATAAACTATAATTAGGACTTAGGAATGAAAACCTGGTTTGTACCAGTATATAGTAGGGTAAAAATGATGATAAATCATAAGCTAATATTATTACAAAAATAGATATACCAAAGCTAGTATGGAAATAACAAAATTATTACTACCTCTGTTTTCCTAAGTCTTGCCCACTCTCCGTTTTCATCCATTTTCTAAACTATATTCATTTTTATTATTCTATTTATGAAAACTTTTTATTTATTTTTTTATCATCGGCAACCTCCACTTTATTGATATTTATACATTTGAAGCAAATAACACATGGTGGCTTAATTATCCACTTTTTGTTTAAAAGGGTTATATGGACCAAACACAAATAACCAGGCAAAAGAAAATATTGCATAAATAAGAAGTTAAAATCTTGCATAAATAAGAAAGGATTTTTTTGTGAAAAAATACCTTAGCTTTTAAACTCCAGATTTTGCGAAAAACTACCCTAAAAACAAATGTTGTAATTAACTACCTTATAAAATATAAAACGTTGTAATTGACTACCTTCTACTACAGGAATGACATATTTGACTTTTATTTCCCGACGTTGACCATGTCACGTGAGGGTCACATGACTCTTTAATGACTTAATTCCCTTCTTTTCCCCTTATTTTCCCGTTTTACACCAATTTAGCCCATATAATTATCAAAGGGGTTGCAAATAAACAATATAAAATATGAATAATCGTATTGTTATAGAAAAGAGTTGGTATAAAGCGGGGAAATTTGGGAGAAAATGGGGAATTAAGTCATTAAAGGATCATGTGACCATCACATGACGGTCAACACCGGAAAATAAAAATCAAATGAGTTATTCTGGTGGGAGGTAGTCAATTACAACATTTTATACTTTATAATGTAGTTAATTATAACATTTAATACTTTAAAAAGTAGTTAATTACAACATTTTGTTTTTAGGGTAGTTTTTCGCAAAATTTAAAATTTAAAAGGTAGTTTTTCACAAAATATCTAATAAGAAATTGTAATAAACTATCTTATAAAAGGTAAACCATTGTAAAAGACTACCTCTAGCCGGATTTTCACCGTTGACCAAGTTATTTGGCGTTGACCCGGCACATAATACCCTTAAAACTACCAGCTTTAGGGTTGGATGGTAGTTTCGCCTTGCTAAATAATAGAGACATATTCAAGCAGGTTGTGTTGATTTTGGAATAAAAACGGGTGGTTTGGGGGTGTTTTGTGGTAGGTCAACGCTGAAAAATTAGGTCAACTGAAGAATCCGGCCAAAGACATTTTACCTTTTAATAGGTAGTTTCGTTCTTACAACATTTTTTGTTAGGTAGTTTCTCACAAATTCTATGTTTTATTAGGTAATTTTTGACAAAAAATTCAAATAAATTTTGTTTACACTGATAATTTTTATAGTATGTAGTCTGGCTAAATTAAAAAAAATTGGCTATGGTGCTGTTTGGTTTTGAGTTAAAGGTTCAACCCTAACCTAATCAATTCATCAAATGGAACGTTTTAAGTGAACCTAATTAATTAATAAAGCAAAAATTGTTTTGATGATCTCAACTTTAATTGGTTGATTTTCTTTTAATAATCCCAAAACTTTGGAATATTATTGAATAATCCCAACTCTATGGGTATTATTAGGACCATATGAACGGTAACTTGAGGAATTGGTTAAATTTTTATAAAAATTATTGGCACGTGTCGTCGTTTTAGGGTCGGGAAAAGGGTTAAGAGTGGTTTATGGGGAGATGGAAAGGGAAAGAGTGGTTTTCGGGGTGGGGAAAATGGAGGCATGTTGGGTGCGGTTGAAAGAGACGGGGGTTGTTTTCGAGGTAGTGGAAAAGGGAGGGGGTGACCAGGTTTTCAAATATATAAATCTTTAATACATGCAAAAACTATAAATGTTAGACCAATTCAACGAAATGCTTAAGTTTATGGTTGAATTTCAAAATTGGTTTATTTACTCTATCACGCCCCTTCATATGAGAATGTGGATGTAGCCCCTTCATACTTATTAGCGTGTGAAACATTCCACTTAAAAGTAAGGGTGCAGTGGATGAGATTTGAACCAATGACCTTTGTGTGATGTTAGCTTTGTTGAAAAAGAATCATAGCAACTAAAAATTTAATATGTGATCACTTGTATTATTTATATTCACATTCACTAAAACCACTGTTTCAAAAAAACTGAATAAATAAACAAAAATAACTACAACTATAATACATTAGAAATTTTAATCCAATATAAAATAAATATTTTTGAAAATTTTTTATACAACATACACATTATAATATGACCGGTTCATTATTTCACATTAAAAATAATTAATTTTGTGTTCATATTATAATCTGAAAGAATGAACCAATCATATTATTGTTTATCATTAGATTAATATGGTACTCTCTGTAGACTGTAGTCATATTTTAAATTCTTTTTTTTTTGTTGGGTGCATATGTTAAAATGTTTTAATTTTATCTTGTTTAGTTTGCTTACATTATTAGTTTGAATAGTGAAATGGAAATAAATTGCACAACAGTGTGCAGTTCTTGATAGGAGACCAGAATAACTACCGGACAACTTTTATGGTGGAACTTCACAATAATTTGGCACCCATGGTGCAGATTTTCTTAAATTTATGGGGACAACATGAGTACATAGGCCCTAGACTGAAAGCCATGCCCTCAGGAGGGGTGAGGTTCAATGTCAACAACCCGAATCAACTCCGTTTAGATATCAATCTCAACAACTATGTAGACGACTCTTTATTCAATCAAGGAGCTCTCTTCATGGCAAATGATGGGTCCTTCATCATCAGCCACTCCTCGGACGAGGCTTCAACTTTGAGGGCTCAATGTGTGACGTTTGGGCATGTGGTTGGCGACTATTATAATCTCCGCAATATGATGCAGAATGGCTATGTAAATGTTGTTGAGTGCACCATACTTTGAGTAGCTCTGTATTAGTATAAAACGTACGCAACCAAGGGTGTTAAGATGTGATCACTCTAAAATGGACGATGCCCATGATGAGAGTTTACTATGTAAAATATCAAAATATAAGTTAAATAAAAGCATGTGTATGGTGTGGGTGTGTGTAGATGGTATTATTATATGTATATATCTAATTCAAGTATGTAATGTATAATTATAATAAAGATATAAATTAAAAAAAACTGATTTAGAAACCCTTAGTGGAATCCGATATCATGTAGAATTGTGTAATTTAGGTGTATCACACAGGTCCTCCCGACCCAGGTTAGCGAGCTAAATAATTTGGAAGTGAGGGGGAATGGTAAAAGTAAGAGAATCCCCACCCCCAAAATATCTCTAGTGGGGTTTGATCCCACAATCTCTTGGTTGTGAGATACAAACTTGACTATTAGAACAAGCTATGCTTGGTAGTCAGCTATTATGAAATGGTAGAATTATTGATTTGACATTCTGTTTATTTTGTAGGAGTAAAATTTTTTGTTTGTTTGTGAGATTTGTTCCTCCTTTTTGAGAATGTCTTACGTTGCTTAAAAAAAATTAAAAAAAATTCAAAATTTTTTAAAATGATTATAAATCTCCTAAAAAAAGAAGAAGAAAGAAGGATTTTTCCAAGATTACTATTTTTAACTTAAAGTCCACTATTAAATATACAAAGTCATCATATTAAGATTATTAACTCTGAATTATAAATTACATTTGCAAAGTGTGAAGTTTACATCTAGAATAAATCGTAAACTGAAATTGATTTTTGCATGACATTAACTGGGCCCAGTGTTCATTTGACATTGGGCCTTTTATCGCTGGGTCATGGCTCTTGGCTTATGTGGTCATCTCATGGATCAGTGGCCGCTCATGACTTGAATGTATCCGTGTGAACTAGAGCTGTCAATTCAGGTAAACGGATCGAGTTTGGGTCGGAAAATAGTGGGTCAAGTTAACTTGGGTCGGATCAATTCGGATTAATTCCATAACCTATACGGGTCGGGTTTGGATTTGGTCATGCTTAAGTCGGGTCACGTCGGGTCATACTTCTTATCGGGTTTAGGTCGGGTTAATAACAGGTCGGGTTACATTCGGGTTGGATGAACAACGGGTCGGGTTAAAACGGGTTAAGGTAATTCTCGGCTTCGGTTTAAGTCAATAATTTGAGGGTGAGAACCAGGTCAAGTCATTCTCGGGTTTGAGTCGGATTCGGTTGAAGTCAATAATTTGCGGATTATATTCAAGTCGGGTCATTTTCAAGTCGGGTCATTCTCGGGTTCAAGTCGGCTTCGGTTCAAGTCAATAATTTGCGGGTTATAATCTTTTCAAGTCGCGTCATTCTCGGATTCAAGTCGGGTTCGTTCAAGTCAATAATTTGCGGATTATAATCATGTTGGGTCATTTCCAAGTCGGGGCATTCGAGAATTTAAGTCGGGTTATGTTCAAGTTAATAATTTGCAGGTTACAATCAGGTCGGGTCATTTCTAAGTCATGTGATATTCGGGTTCAACTAACTATAAATAGATAATTATCATTTTTATCAAGCTATTTATTTCCGATGAATATAATATATATGAAAATATACTAGGGAACTATAGTCTATAATTTAGGAAGATAATTATCTCCTTTGACCATACAACAAATATATACTATATTTAACTCTTAAATTTGAGGATGATGCTCCTTTCTTTTGCTGGTATGGACCGACTTGGTTTCCCTAGACAAAATGCTTTGATCAACAATAATAAGGTTGTCTAAAAAGCATTTAAGGTGACTTGAAATCGGGTCAGGAACAATTTGGGTTGAATTTAGGTTGGGTCAATAACAAGTCATGTTAATTTCGAGTCGGGTTGACAACAGATCGGGTTGAATTTTGGATCGGGTAAGTAATAGGTCTGTTAAAATTCGGGTCAGGTTAATAACAAGTCGGATTGAATTTAGGTCGGGTAAAAAACAAGTCGGGTTGATTTCAGGTCGGGTTTGTAACAGGTTGGGTTAAATTAGGGTTAGGTTAGGAATGGGTCGGGCTGAATTCAGGTTAGGTTAGTAGCAAGTCAGGTTAAATTCGGGTTTTGATAGGTTAAAATTGTGGTCAATATTGTTTCAAGTCGGGTTCGGTGCAAGTTAATTAAATTGATCGTTGTAAACCAATAAATCGGTGCAAGTTGTAAACCGAAAAATTGGTCGTTTAACAGCAAATTAGATGGTTCCACACACCTAATTGGACTCATGGGTATTAAGTACCATGGTAAACATTTTGGTAATTTTTATCTCAGGGCAAAAAAAAGTCAAAAAATTCCAAAATTGAAGGCTAATATCCACGCTTTTTGAGAAATTTTAGAGGTTACGGGGCCCGGTGTCGAAAAACCTTGAGATTTTAGGAAATACATATCGGGGTCTTATAATGACGTTTGAAACCATATATCATCATTATATGTTGTCATAAATGTTCGTGGTAGGCTTGATTTAATGAAATTGGTGCAAGTTATAAACCGGTAAATAGGTCGTTTAAAAGAAAATTGGATGGTTTCACCCACCCAATTAGACTCCAAGAATGTATTAGAGACCATGGTAAACATTTCGGCAATTTCTATTTCCGGCAAAAAAGTCAAAAATTCCAAAATTGAAGGCCAATATCCACGTTTTTTAAAAAATTTTGGAAGTTTCGGGGACCAGTTTAGAAAAGTCTTGATATTTTAGGGAATATATCTCGGGGTCATATAATTCCGTTTGGAACCATATATGATCATTATATGTTGTCATAAATGTTCATAGTATGCTTGAGTTAACGAAATCGGTGCAAGTTGTAAACAAGTGAATTGGTCGTTTAAAGGGAAATTGGATGGTTCCACCAACCCAATTGGACTCCCGAAGGATATTAGGGTCCATGGTAAACATTTCGGAAATTTTTATTTTCGTGCGAAAAAAAATAAAAAAAAATTCCAAAATTGAAGACAAATATCCACGTTTTTTAAGAAATTTTGGAGATTTCTGGACCTGGTGTCGAAAAGTCTTGAAATTTTAGGGGATACATCTCAGGGTCATATAATGCCGTTTGGAACCATATATGATCATTATTTGTTGTCATAAATGTTCGTGGTAGGCTTGAGTTAATGAAATCGATGCAAGCTGTAAACCGGTAAATTGGTCGTTTAAAGGCAAATTGGATGGTTCCACCCATCAAATGGAACTCCTGGATGGTTTAAGGGATCATGGTAAACATTTTGAAAATTTTTATTTCCGGGCGAAAAAAAAGTCAAAAATTACAAAATTGAAGGCTAATATCCACGCTTTTTGAGAAATTTTGGAGGATTCAGGGCCTGGTGTCGAAAAGTCTTAAAATTGTAGGGGATAAATCTCGGAGACATATAATGCTGTTTAGAGCCATTTATGATCATTATATGTTGTAATATATGTTTGTGGTACGCTTGATTTAATGAAATCGGTGAAATTTGTATACCGGTAAATTGGCCATTTAAAGGCAAATTGGATGGTTCCATCCACCCAATTGGTTTCCCAGGGGGTATTAGGGACCATGGTAAACAATTCAACAATTTATATTTTTGGGCAAAAAAAGTTCAATAATTCAAAAATTGAAGGCTTATATCCATGTTTTTTGAGAAATTTTGGAGGTTTCGGGTCACGGTGTTGAAAACCCTTGACATTTTAGGGATTACATCTCGGGGTCATATAATGACGTTTGGAACCATTTATGATCATTATATGTTTCATAAATGTTCGTGGTAGGCTTGATTTAATGAAATCGGTGCAAGTTGTAAACCGGTAAATTGACCGTTTAAAGGCAAATTGGATATTTCAACCCACCCAATCTGACTCCCGGAGGGAATTAGGAACCATGGTAAAAATTTCGGCAATTTTTTTTGCAAGTGAAAAAAAGTCCAAAAATTCAAAAGTTGAAGGCTTATATCCATGTTTTTTGAGAAATTTTAGAGGTTTTGGGTCACGGTGTCGAAAACCCTTGACATTTTAGGGATTACATCTCGGGGTCATATTATGCCGTTTGGAACCATATATAATCATTATATGTTGTCAGAAATGTTCGTGGTAGGCTTAAGTTAATTAAATTTGGTGCAAGGTGAAAATCTATAAATTAAATATGTCGTTTAAAGGCAAATTGGATGGTTCCATCCATTTAATTGGACTCCCGGAGAGTATTAGGGACCATGGTAAACAATTCAACAGTTTTTATTTACGGGCGAAAAAAAGTCAAAAAATTCCAAAATTGAAGGCTAATATCCACAATTTTTGAAAAATTTTAGATCGAGGTTTTGGGGCCCGGTATCGAAAAGTCTTGAAATTCTAGGGGATATATCTCGGAGTCATATAATTTCATTTGGAAAAATATATAATCATTATTTGATGTCATAAATGTTCGTGGTAGACTTGAGTTAATGAAATCGGATCGGTGCAAGTTTTAAACTAGTAAATTGTTCGTTTAAAGGCAAATTGGATGGTTCCACCCAACCAATTGGATCCTCGGAGGGTATTAGGGACCATGGTAAACGTTTCGTCAATTATTATTTTCAGGCGAAAAAAAAGTCAAAAAATTCCAAAATTAAAGCCTCATATCTATGCTTTTTGATAAATTTTAGAGGTTTCGGCGCCAGTTGACGAAAAGACTTGAGATTTTAGGGGACACATCTCGGGGTCATATAATGTTGTTTGGAACCATATATAACTGTTATATGTTGACATTAATGTTCGTGGTAGGCTTGAATTAATGAAATCGATGCAAGTTGTAAATCGGTAAATTGGTTGTTTAAAGGAAGTAAATTGGTTGGTTCCACTTACCCAATTGGACTCTCCGAGGGTGTTAGGGATCATGGTAAACATTTCAGCAATTTTTATTCCAGGCGAAAAAAGTCAAAAAATTCAAAAATTGAAGGTTAATATCCACGTTATTTAAGAAAATTGGAGTCTGACCGATGTTTAAAAGAATAGAAATTCTAGGGAATACTTCACGTGGTCATTTAATGTCGTTTGGACCCATTTATGATCATTTTTTTGTTGACATAAATGTTCGTGGTAGGCTTGATTTAATGAAATCGGTGCAAGTTGTAAACCGGTAAATTGGTCATTTAAAGGAAAATTTGGATGGTTCCACCACCCAATTGGACTTCCGGGGGGTAAACATTTCGGTA